GGATCTGGGATAAACTGTGAGGCAAAATTGCCATGGAAACACTGTACGGGGTGGGTTGAGGCCTGAGGCTCTCAGTGCAGGGCTGGGTAGAGTGGTGTGATAGACAGAGCAAATCCAGTTTGCAGTGGGTGAGGATTTGGTATGTGGAAGGAGATCACTGAGGAGCTAATGTGACTGTAGAGATGTTTAATGCCGCTGTATGGTGACACCAAGGCATGTTTAGGCTTTCTTCTGTGGAAAAACAACACGAATCACGTTGGTGAGAACAAATACATGCATCATTATTCAGGGGTGTGATGCTGTGATGCTGCAAACCCAACCTTGACAGGAGGAAGGATACATTTCATCCTGCAAAGGAGGATGGATATGCTCTTTTCCCCCACACTGTAGGACTGCAAATCCCAAACAGGAATGATGTGTCACTAATGAATCTCTAATCACAGAATCCCAGACTGGTTTGGGATGAAGGGAGCTTAAAGCTTATCCAGCTCCAACCCCTCCATGGGCAGGGACCCCTTCCATAGAGCAGCTTGCTCCAAGCCCCTGTGTCCAACCTGGCCTTGAGCACTGCCAGGGATGGGGCAGCCACAGCTTCTCTGGGCACCCTGTGCCAGCGCCTCAGCACCCTCACAGGGAAGAGCTTCTGCCTAAGAGCTCAGCTCAGTCTCCCCTCGGGCAGGTTCAAGCCATTCCCCTTGGCCTGGCCCTACAGGCCCTTGTCCCAAGCCCCTCTCCAGCTTTCCTGCAGCCCCTTTAGGCACTGGAGCTGCTCTCAGGTCTCCCCTTCAGGAGCCTTCTCTTCTCCAGGCTGCCCTAGCCCAGCTCTCTCAGCCTGGCTCCATGGCAGAGCTGCTCCAGCCCTCGCAGCATCAGGCACAGGCATTTGCCATTTCATAGTTGCATTTTGCTACCTGTGGCCCAAGGCAGCCCAGAGGGTTGGTCCCTCCCTTGACAGCAGGAGCAGTGCCTGTGGATGTGGCTGCACATGCTGGTTTGAGCTGGGAAGAAGCCATTCCCTGCAGCTGAGCCCTGCCATGGTCCCTATGGCTCTGGCAGCTCCCAGCACATGAGCTGGTGGATGCCAGCAGCCTGTCAGCCCTTCTCCTCCCAGCCCGGCTCCTGTTCATCATGGGCAATGTGTCCTCTCCTGCAGGTTTTGCCCTGACACTGTTTGCTACTGCTCACTTTGGTCTGTGTATGCCCTGCCGGAATTAGAGCCTTTAGGAGTGTGAGCAGCAGGTCCAAGGAGGTGATCCTGCCCCTTTATTCTGCTCTGGTGAGACCTCACCTGGAGCATTGTGTGCAGTTCTGGTGTCCTCAGCATAAAAAGGACATGGAGCTGTTGGAACAAGTCCAGAGGAGGCCATGAGGATGCTCAGGGGCTGGAGCAGCTCCTGTATGGAGCCAGGCTGAGAACATTGGGGCTGTTGAGGCTGGAGAAGAGAAGCTGCGTGGAGACCTCAGAGCAGCTTCCAGTGTCTGAAGGGGGCCTATAGGGATGCTGGGGATGGACTCTTCATTAGGGACTGCAGTGATAGGACAAGGGGTGATGGGTTAAAACTTAAACAGGGGAAGTTTAGATTGGAGATAAGGAGGAAATTCTTTCCTGTGAGGGTGCTGAGGCACTGGAATGGGTGCCCAGGGAGGTTGTGAATGCTCCATCCCTGGCAGTGTTCAAGGCCAGGTTGGACAGAGCCTTGGGTGCCATGGTTTAGAGCGAGGTGTCCCTGCCCATGGCAGGGGAGTTAGAACTGGATGATCTTAAGGTCCTTTCCAACCCAAACTATTCTATGATTCTATGATCCATGAGAGTGAGGGCTTGGAAATGTTGCCTTTCCTTCACCTGCACATGCAGTTCCTATGTCCTGGCTTTCCTCCACAGCAAACTTTGCTGTTAGTAATAGATGAAAATAGAGATTTCTGCTGGCAACAGGCATGGTCAGCATGGGAGGCTCTGCAATTACCCCAAAGTGCCCAGCAGAGCCATGATGTGCCATGCCACAGCACAGTCCAGTCCCACCAGCGTCTTCCCTATTGCTCTCTGCGCCGGCACAAAAGCAGATGGGACTCAGTTTAACCTTCCTGCAGCAGCAGAATCAGCTTTAAAAGCTCTTTGGGTGGCTCATTAACCCTCAGATACATCAGATTTGATTGTCATCTCCTCTGGGGTTGGTGTTTTCTCCAGGTAAACACAGCAGATCTCCACAAGCACCATCTAAGCTGTATCAGCTCTAATCTTTAGATGCTTGCCTTGCCCTGGAGCTGTCTGGCATCTGCTGTATGCACTGTGGTGCCTTGGAGCTTACTAACCAAAGTCCTCCCATGGGGAAGGATCTGGGAGCCAGCTCATCCTGACTTTGGATGCATTGGGGGGATGCTGAGAAGTTTTAAACCCTCCACGCTCTGGTTATTCCCAGTAAAGAAATTACAGGCTTAGAGGTTTATCCTCTATAAGGCTGGTTTAGCTGCTCTTCAGGGATATAGTCATAGAAGAAGCATTGACATCTGAAAGAATGATCATTCGACTGTTATCAGAAGGGAAAATCATAGCTTTTAATCATAGCTGAGCTGATAACACAGGGTGTGGGCACGGCGTGAAACCACCTCAAGGTTTCATGTGCAGAAAGAGCCTTTCTGCTCTGATGGCAAAAAAATATCACCATTCAGGATGAGTTCAAGCTTTCATTAGGCACACAGAAGGGGGAAAAAGAGGCAAGAATTGAAGCGTTTCAAGTGTGAAGTTTCATTTCAACACCATCTCTTACTGCCTTTCCAAATAGCTACAGAGCTTTTGGAAGAAATGCCCTTTGGAGAAGCATTTAACATGCCCATTGTCCCTTTTTGGAGAGCATAAGGAAGGTTTTAGGGGCTGGAGCTCCTGTTATACTGGGCTTTACCTTCTTTCCTTGATGACACACCACAAAGGAGGAGAAAAGAGCAGCAAAGGGATGAAAAGCAGGTGCAAATTCACTGCAGGAGAAACCCTTGTCAGCTGTCCTGAGATCCGGAATAATGTGTTTAAGTCACCTATTCCGCCTGATTTCCTCACTCTATCAGCATCCAGCCGCCTGATTTCCTCACTCTATCAGCATCCAGACCCTTCTTCTGTACCAGAAACAACCTTAAGAGAGTCCTTTAGAGATAACAGAAGACTGACCTTGGCTTCTTTCCTTCTTATCTTTACCTTCTATTGACTTTTATCAGTAACTTACTGTAATAGACCAATTTAAAGATTCATTTCCCCACACCTGAGTCAGACCTCTGGACCAGAGGATTTGTCTGTGTCTGCAGACAAGAAAGAGGTCCCTTCAGGACATGGACCAGAGAGATTTGAAGGGGGGGAGATGTTACATTGAGATTTCTAAGCTTCCTGATGATGGGTCATTCCTTTCTATATATGTACAGTTTTTAACTGTGTGCTATGAAGGTTGGGTACCCCAAGCCACCTCCCCACATGTTTATTATCCATCCATTACATCTCATTCTCCCTTGAGTTTCTCTTTCCATCTCGCCCAAGAGCCTATGGTGCTCACAACCCAGGCATTTCATCCCTCCCTTCACATCCAGCATCCCCTGGGCAGCAGTCCCACCGCCTTCTGCCCATCTTCCCAAATCCTTGCATCCCTCTGCAGTGCTTGCTGTCACTATGGCAACCTACAAGAGGATGTGCAACGGGATTAGGATGCTCTGTGGGATAAGGATGTGCTGCGGGATGAGGATGCTCTGTGGGATGAGGATGCTCTGTGGGATGAGGATGCGCTGCAGGATGAGGATGCGCTGCAGGATAAGGGTGCTCTGTGGTATAAGAATAAAATCATAGAATACTTAAGGTTGGAAAGGACCTTAAGCTCATCCAGTTCCAACCCCCTGCCATGGGCAGGAACACCTCACACTAAACCATGGCACCCAAGGCCTCGTCCAACCTGGCCTTGAACACTGCCAGGGATGGAGCATTCACAACCTCCCTGGGCAACCCATTCCAGTGCCTCAGCACCCTCACAGGGAAGAATTTCCTCCTTATATCCAATCTAAAATAAGGATGCTCTGCGGGACGAGGATGTGCTGTGGGATAAGGATGCGCTGCAGGATGAGGATGCTCTGCGGGATGAGGATGCTCTGCAGGATGAGGATGCTGTGCAGGATGTGGTCACCACCATGGTCTTCTGCTTGGAGCAGTTCAGGTAGAACTGCTGCAGCCTGGGCAGGGAGATGGGGGCTGTTGATTTTTCTCCTAATGGAAACTGAATCGCTGCCGAAGCCCAGCTGGAGATGCTTCTGAACAAGAAGCTCGTCCCCTGGGGTTGTGCTGCTTCCATTATCCTTACAGAGTGAAGAGATGCGCTGGGGAGCGTGAAAGCTGCCTCAGAGGCTGAAGCACAACCAGGGAGGTTTTTAGCTCTTCCTCATGTAGAACACCCAGGAGGCACAGAGCGCCCGTTAGAGCGGGTGTTCAGAGGTATAACGTGCACTTTCGGTTTGCACCAAAAAGGAGGGAGCCTCCACCCAGCCCTTTGCTTCCACCCTGGCCCTGCTCAGGCCCCCTGAGGGCCAAGCGCTCTGTGACACTCGACGGCTGACGTTTGCCACCACCGCGGGTAACCCGAGACGGGAGCAAGGCGGAGCCGGGACCTCTGTGGGGAGAGAAGGGGCTACCGGAGAGGGAATGCGGCGGGAGAAGAGGGAACCCCTGCAGCAGACACCACTAAGGGAAGAGAAACCGCTCCCCTCAGCCCAGTCCGCTTCCCTCAGCCCGAGGCGAAAGCGGCGCGCCGCAAGGGATGCCGGGAGTTGTAGTTCCTCCCGCCCACCCCATCCGCAGCCGGCACCGGAGCTCGGACTACACTTCCCATCGTGCATTGCAGCGCAGTTAGCCCCCACCCCTCCGCGCTCCCTCCCCTCCCTGTGGGGTGGGCGAGGCGTGATTGGCGGGGCCGCGGCGCGGGGGGCGGGGCCGCGGTTGTTGTCGAGCGGCGGGAGGGCGGGGAGCGGGCGCGCGCTCGGAACGTTGCCGGTGCGAGGCGGCGGGCGCCGTTACTCGCCGTTGGGCTGAGGTAAACAGCGGGAACCCCCCGCTTCCCTCTGGCACCGCGGCACCGTCCTCGCTCTTCCCCTCCCTCAGGGGATGCGCGGTGCCGCGGAGGAGTGAAAGAAGCGAAGCCGCCGCCGTTGTTGTCCCCCCCTTTCCTTCCACCCGCGGCTCTCCCCTCCCTCTGCAGACGGCGACATGGGCGAGTGCGGAGCCCCCGGGGACGTGAACTCCAACGTGCTCATCGCCCCCAGCACCGGCGACGCGCAGCTGGACAAGGCGGTGTGGCAGTGGCTGAGCTGGGACAAGGTGGGTGTGTGGCGGTGGGGGGGGCGGCGGGATCCCCCCTTGTTACGGGCTTCTCCGTGCTTTTGGTTCGCCATCGTTTCCAGCGCGTTCCATCCCCTTCCCATCCTGCCGGGTGCTGAGGGCGGTGTTCGACCGCTTCTCCCTCTCCATGGCCCTTTCCCCTGGGGTTGGCATTGAGGGGTGGACGTGGAAAATAGCCACCCCGATCCCGAAATGCTGCCGGGGCTGGGCATTCCGTACCCTGGGCGAGGGGAATGGTGAGGCAAGCGGCCCCCCAGGGCTGTACCTGATGGGGTGATGTCATCTCGCTGCCACATGGAGCACCGCACCTGCTCCGTGTTGCTCCTGCTCCTTAAGACATCAGCGTGGTCTCGTGTAACCTCGTTTAAGGGTGGCTTGATGCTGTTAGAGGCAAATGGCGTGGTTTTCTGTCCTCGTTGAGCGCCATCCCTTACAAAGAAACCGGCTTTAGAGGCTGATACCCTGCCATACCCCTTCCCTTTCCATCCCCATCAGGGTGTCAGGAGGACTGCAGGCTCTGTTAGCTCCGATTAACCCATCCAAAGCAAACCTGAGGCCGTAATAATAACGATAATACGGCATTGGAGGTTCTGTTGTTTGCCTTGTTGAAAGGGTTACTTGTATTTTCCACCTCGTTTGCCCAAACATCATGGCTTGTGCTTTAAAAATACCTTGGGAGATGGAGGAGGGTAAACAAGCAGCTGCTTTCCTGCTTTTTTCCCCTTTTACTTTATGCAGAGTGATTATCAGTGTGTTTATCCTGTTTCCTCCTTGTTCAGTCCTGTTGGGATCGCAGCAGGAGGGCTATAAGTGAGGTCTGTGTTGGCCCTTGGATGGGCTTTATGCTGCTTGGGAATCTGCTTTCTTCCCTTCATTTGTGCAGGAATCGGCACTTGCCATCTGTGCTCAGAGCTGCTGTTGTGGAAATAGCTGGGAATAGGGACCTGGGGGAGGGAAGGAGTGGAAGAAGGGAATAGCATTCCTGATAATGCACTTGGTAATGTGGACAGAACTGATGGGTCTTTTTTAAAGCACCTTAATGTATATTTATCCTCAAAATGTACGGAGTAGACGAATCCCAGAATTCCAGGTTGGAAGAGACCTCAAGGATCATCTGGTCCAACCTTTCCAGGCACAGCATGACCTAGATTGGATGCCCAGCACCCTGTGCAGCCCCGTCTTAACAGTGTCCAACACTGGGGAGTCACCACTGCCCTGGGGAGATTATTCCAATGGCTGCTTGTTCTCATTGGGGAAAAAAAATCCTCTTGTGTCCAGTGGGAATCTCCCCAGGAGGAGCTTGTGCCCATCACCTCCAGGCTACTTGTGGGACTCCTTGACAAAAGGGAGTCTCTATGTTCTCTGTAGCCACCCTTTAACTCCTGGCACATGGGATAAGGTTTCCTCTGAGAACTTTTTCATACGAAGGTTACTGGGGAAAATACTTTGATTAAAACCAGATTAGTGAAATTTAACTGTTTCTATAGCTCCTCCTAAGGCTAAAATGAACCAAGACATTACAAACTGAAGAGTAGGTTTGATGGCACCTGCTTACCCTTGCTCCCCTAGCTGGTAATCATGACCTGCACTATTGAACTTACTACTTGGAGAGATGTTAAAGAGTTTCTGTGGATTTTGAGTGTTCAAAATCACCTGAAGAAGGAGGACTGGATGCTTCAGCAGGGGCACACACTGTGGGTTCTGCAGTGAGGGCTCCACTGCCTGGTTCTGAAGCACTTGCAGTCGCTCTGTAGAGGATGGAAACAAGAGGTGAAGGTGTTGTGGGACAGGAGAGCAAGGCCAAAGAAGCAAGTATGGCATGAGGAGGAATTATGTGCCACTCCCACCAGCTTCCTTAGCCTCCAAGCAAGGCAAAAATCCATGCACTCCATTCACAGCAGTATTTTGCTGTGGGGAGCTTTTGTCCTCTAACTTAATTGAAAACTACTTGCTGTAATTAATGAATAGAGTTGTGTTTCTATCCTTTCCAATTGGGTTTTATGTGCTAACCTCTTGTTAAACCATAACTGGTTCCAGACTGGGCTGTGGGTGGAAGAAACCTCACCATCTGATGATCCTTCTGCTTTCTTCCTCTCCCACCTCTGTCGTGCATCATCATTAGTGCCTCTGGCAACTGGTTTAAAGGAAGCTCAGTAATTAAATCTCCCTCTTTTCCCATTCTCTCTCATTAATTGCTGTGTGTTTACTCTTGTCTTTGAGACAGGCCTGGAGGCACAAGGCACCCTCCTTGTGGTTGATCCTCATTGGTAAACTATGTCAACAGTTAGTCATTGTTCTGTTTATTTTCCCTTTAATTCCTCTTAATCCACTCCCTAACTTTCCTATTGTACTTCCATGTCTGCTTTGCTGCTTCTAAAGGAGTTTAACTGTGGAAAGCTGTGTTGGAGCAGTTATCCCCAATAAAACTTCTCTTTAGAGCAAATGTTAGAGTTTTGGACCTTGGTTGTAGTAATGACTTCATGTGCTTGTCTTGGGTTATTTTATAGAGTGGCAAGGTTTTACTGCACAGAGTGGCAATGAAATGAGGTGTGCTCAGTGGAGCAGCTGAGCATTTGTTGTATGCTGAAGCAGAGGAGGTTCTGGTGTAAGTTGGGGGTAAGGTACTGGCTCAGCACCTGATGGGAATGACCACAATAATTAAGGTAGAATCACAGAATGGTTTGGGTTGGAAGGGACCTTAAAGCTCCTCCAGCTCCAACCCCTGCCACAGGCAGCTTGCTCCAAGCCCCTGTGTCCAGCCTGGCCTTGAGCACTGCCAGGGATGGGGCAGCCACAGCTTCTCTGGGCACCCTGTGCCGGCGCCTCAGCACCCTCACAGGGAAGAGCTTCCTTATATCCACCCTAACTCTCCCCTGTTCCAGTTTGAACCCATCACCCCTTGTCCTATCACTCTAGTCCCTGATGAAGAGCCCCTTTGCAGCATCCTTGTAGCCCCCTTCAGACACTGGAAGCTGCTCTGAGGTCTCCACGCAGCTTCTCTTGTCCAGGCTGAAAAGCCCTGAGATCCCCATTAACTTAATGAAAAGCATGATCCCGAAGAAAGATCCACAGCTCTGCCTTTGAGAGTTACTGATGGATGCCCTCTGCTTTCCTCCAGTGAGTCCTCAGTGTGCAAGACTGGAGCCTAAGCCCAAGCTGTTGGCTGCTGGTTTATTCATTACCCCTTTGGGATCACTGACAAGGCTCTGGTTCCCTTTGTGTGCTCAGGGTAGTGTAGCTTTACCCATCTCCAACAGAGATCTGGAGGGGTGTTTGTACACAGACTGTACCTGGGCTGTGGTGGAGTGTATGGGGTGGGAAAAGGGCATGCTATGTGGTTGTCAAAGGCACAGTTAGAACATCCCATGGAGGGGAAAACTTAAATTAGTTCTCCAGGAGCTATTTGTACAGGCCCCTTTCACTGTACTTTCACTTTACTAATTCATGGCCTCATTGTCAGAGCATGAATAGCTTCCTGCTTGCTGACAGTGTGGCTTGGCTGGTTTCAGGGCTTTGTTTTAGAGTGCTCCTCGGTGTTGAGACTTTTAAGATGGAAAAGTGGCTTTTAAGATGCTTTTAAGTGACTTTTTAAGATGCGTGTGACTTTCAAGAGGAAATGGACTTGGTAGGTAGAGACCAGTAAGCTGCTCCTGTTATTCAGCTTGTGATATTTTTAACTTAAGACCTTTTAAGTGATTATTTAAGACTAAAAATGGGGAAATAAAGGCTAGGAATTGGCAAGCTGTAATACTAAAACATTGAAGATAAAACTGAATACTTTAAGTAGTTGATTCTGGGTAAACAGGGACACAAACCCTATGTTGGTACAACCAAAATGGGCACAACCATTTTGGGAAGCTCTGAAATAACACGAGGACTGGCCTTCAGTGTTTTTCTAAGGCTATAAGCTATAGAAAGTCCATCAGGATGGTTTTGAAACTTGTACTTCACAGTGATACTGTCTACTGATACTATATTGATAAGGAAGCTGTATGCTGTCTATGGTGTTCTTGTGGAAGTGGGAAAGGGTGTTGCTGTTCTGTGTGTGCAGACATTTAACTGTGAGAATCAGAAAGAAGACTTGAGAATTAAGACTTGCTTTGGGATGAACACCATGGTGATGTGACCTGCTTTTTGCCTGTCACTTCCTATTCTGTACACTGAGCCACTGAATTGGATCAGCAGAGTTAGAGCTGTGCTTCTGCTTGCTGCTCCTCTTGCCAGTAGTGTTTGCTCTTGTGTTTGGTCTTTCTCAGGATCTTCTTAATCAGAGCATTGCTAGTTCAGAGCTCTTTTTACCATTCTTCCTCACAGATACAGATTCCCATGTTTAAGCATCCCTGAAAAGCTGATGTGATGTTCCTGTCCCCCTCTCTGAGGGAAGTAGCACATCAGCAGTGTGGTGTGGTGTGTGTGTGTGCTTTCTACAGTGGAGTGTGGCTGCAAGTCACACTGCTTGTGGCTTCACACCCTCCAGAGTGGATGCTCACTGTTAATGCTCCATGGTGCTCGGCTGAGGCCCATCTGTATGCTCCATGCAGCCTCCCCGTCACAGGAGCACATTACTCCTGTTAGTTCCAAGTGCAGGTGGAGTGATGGTTTTGTTAGTGTGAAGACTTAAGTCCTGTGTATATATGGTTGTACAATGTACAGGGGAGGTGTAGGGCTTTTGGAGACAGTATTGGAGGACTGGTTTTGGTGCATAAAGCGAAACTATTCCATGAGGCACTCCAAACAGGGAGAATGGATGTAGACTGCACCTTTCAGCCTGGCTCCCTACCAGAAGCAGCCAACTGTTATGGAGGTGGTGTGGCTCACTGTGGGATCGGGATTTGGGTATGAAACAGAAGACCAACTTGCATTGTACATGTATTCCCAGTGAGTTGGCAGAGACAAGGGATGTCATGTATGGATCCTTCTACCTCTCAGGTATAAAGCCAGGCTGAGAGAGCTGGGCTGGGTCAGCCTGGAGAAGAGAA